TGTGTGTGTGTGTGTGTGTGTGTGTGTGTGTGTGTGTGTGTGTGTGTTTGTGTGTGTTTCCTCTCAAATATAAAACAATTAATATGTGTTCATACTCACCGTCACCTAAGACTATTTTGATAATATTGGAACACGGGAAATCCACCATAACCGTTATAATAAAACTGGCTATGAAATATATCACATATTGAGAAAAACAAAGGTAAAGCTGAAACAAACAAAAAAATTAAGAATGTTGTTCTAGTCCAGGTAAATAAAGCAAAATGTCTTCAAAACTGAAGCACATTGTTATTTACTACTAATTTTCAACTTCTGCCTCTCATTTTCTTCCGTCGCCATATTATTTATTCACATAATACATATATTATGTAAATAAATAATTTTATTATTATTAGGTTATCGTATTTATGAAATATTTACACACAATGTTATTATTTCGTTTGTTTATAGTGCTATTGGCATATTTTTATGATTATGTTACCTCATCGAATGAAGCGTATTCATATATATCGATCGAACTTCACTTTGCAAGTTCGTTTGACCTTATATTATAATAATATTAATAATAGTGTATGCTGTCGTTAAGAATAAGAAGAAGCGACATCAAAATAAATTTAAATCATATTTGTTAACTAACAAACGGATTTAATTTTTAGTATCCACTCCAATACAAGAATGCAATAATTTTTAAGTACCTTAATTCTAACTTTTGACATCTGCATGCATGCGTCACATTTTTATTGTGAATTATTGTCACTTTCGAAGGAAGTTATTTGTTTAGGTACGTGCATCGATATTTTATTGCTTGCACAATCCTTCTGTTGCCTTCTACTTCGGTGATATTTAATGAAGTGGGTAGGCACTATAGATGTATGGGTGTATATAATGGGTGTATGTAGTAACCTATCGTAGGCACATTATACTGAGTAAATTTTTATTATTTAAGTATTCGATTTTTTATCGTGCAATATTATTTAATATTCGAATATTGCATTGTGATTGTTATTTAATAATTACACGATAATATATTTGAATATTTAAATAATAAAAATTGCCACTACTTAATTACAGTAGTGAACACTAGACCGAGAATGACCGATCAATGAATTGCGATCTACTTCGCCATGATTAAATTAACGTTCTTTTTGGAAAAAAATTAATAAACAAAAACCTGGAACCGCAACTATTAGAAGGCATCATAGATAAATGCAATCAAAATAAGATGCACTAGTAGATACTTACGCCATTCATCATAGAAAAGTAAATGGCTTGCGTAGGTGCTCCCACAACAACGTCTAGTATGGGTACATGCAACAAATACATCGCATACGAAATCCGAGCTGGCAATTTCCAAAGCTTCAGTGACAGGAACCAGTTGATTGGGCCTGAAAATGTTCAATAGAATTTTATATACTTTACTTTTTTCTTTAAATTATGTCATAATTTAAAAAAATACACATTATAAGTGATTAGTGGCATAATTGAGATTTTACTCACTGAACAATTGCTTAAAAAACTTACAAGTATTTAATGAACTATGGTACACATAGCAGAAATCAGATTTAATTCATGTAAGAAGTGTTATATGAAAGCATTAAAATATTCCGGATATAACAGTCTAAGGCCGGAAAATATTCAGTGACTTTTAAAATTTCAAAATGTCAATAAAAATTTCTGGACGCAATGTGGTCACTATTACGCAGATAAGAAAAATATTTATAATATAAATTCGTATGACTATACATAACACGTAAAAAATAATTCAAAAATGATATAAAATAACGAAATAACTTCCAACTTTCATATTAATAAATACTATATTGATAGCAGTAGAATTCCATGCGAAAGAGTTTGACCAGGCAAGTACAGCCACCTCACTAAGGGTGATTGTGAAATTACAGGCATACGGGACTTGTCAACTATGTCACAGGGTTACGGGCGCAATGGCAGTGCTCCGCAGATGTTAGCAATAAAGCTGTATAAGACAGTTGTATTGTGTTCGTCCCGTAACTTGGTATCATAAAAAAACCCTAATATACTGAATTGAAATGAAATTTTCGGGATTTCTATATTACGCTATTGGTATTTCAAATATAACGGTTGTGAAAAACATTGCGTTATTACAATTGTGATGTTATTTTTTAGATTTCAATTAAAATAACTTTGACGAAATTTTTTGAATTTGAATTTGTAATTTATGTAAAAAAAGACAAAAACAATATCAGCATGTCAGTGTTCTTGTGTTGTGTAATGTAAATAACATAATATAATTGCATTTTCTTTTTTAATAAATTTTTCTCACCTCCAAAACCTTCAGCGCATGCAAGAATAAGCCAGCCCAGTCCAAGAGCCCATAATGGTCGCCTAAAGGAATTCAGAAAGTTATCTAAAGCTTGGTTATCATAGCCAGGTTTTTTCATAAACTCGGTCGAGTAGAAAGTCAACCACAGCAAGGCTAAGTCGACGACCCATAATACGTAAATTAAGATCTGTAAAACAAAAAAGAACATATAGATTTCTCACAGATGTCGCTGCTGAAAAAAGTCGTTAAAAACCAAAACGTTGCTACTGTCTAGAGATGCTACCGCATTTGAAAAAAACCTGAATTATCTATATAAACTAGACTACATATAATGTATTGTTTTTTTCTTTGTGGTTTTTTGTATTTAAGTTTAATATAAAAACTACGTCTTTTCACTTATTTTTGTGGTTGTGGGCGTTGATTTTTTTTACCTTGCCTAAATGGGCGGTGAGCCAAACACTTTGGGAACCTATGCTATACACTGTGGTTCATGATCCCAGTTACAATCAAGTCTGATAGTTGATATTTTGTAAGAAGATTATACTGGTAACTTTTAGTCACTTTCAGTAAAGCACCTGATTTTTTCTTCTAGTATCAGTCGGTTTAGTAATGGGCAATTGTAGAGTAATTTACTAATCAATTATTGAATGAATCAGATCAATTAATTGAATCTGTTGGACTAACATCAAGTGAATTCCGCGCATTTGGCCGTTGTAAATGGATTGAAGGTGATACATAAAAAAACGTTTCTTTATTTACGATTATTGACATTTATTGTTTAAAAGTTAGAAGCTATCACTTAAATACAGAAAATTATGAAAATACTTGATAATTAACAAGTCGCTAAATCGTTTGTAAGCGGTACAGAAATAAGAGTTGGTCAAATGATTTCAAGACGTAAGTTTCTGGTGACTCTTGAGGCAATCACTTACTCAAACTATGATTCACTCAATTGAACTTTTTTCCGTACATCCCTATGCAACCATAGACATTCTAGACTATGGATTGTCAAATCAATCTCGGTTTTCGGCGAAGATTTTTCAATTATGATTTTATAATGCATAACAAACGAATATTGTTGGAAAAAGGGTGAGATATCAAGTGGAAACCTACAAAATACACATAAAAGTGTTACTTATTCCATATAGTGAGTGATTTCTTCAGAATTTTAACCCAACTGGTTTGTTTACGTTTACTCTCAATTCTATTGAAATAGACTATAGATTACTTAGCGCTAGCCGCTAACGTTCGCACAGCGCACTGCTCGCGCATGCGCCTACGTTTCATTGATGCAAGCATACTTAATGTGCAATTATTTACGTCATATTTTTAAGGATTTAAGAGTGTCAGTAGCTTGAGTTGTTCTCTATTGGAGTTTACAAATTGCTACGATCAGACGGCA